CATTCATTCATTCATTCATTCATTCATTCATTCATTCATTCATTCATTCATTCATTCATTTTATTTATTTATTCAAGCATATGTAGCTGCCCATCTCATTCATTCATTCATTCATTCATTCATTCATTCATTCATTCATTCACTCACTCACTCACACACACACACACACACACACACACATGAATGACTATATAGTAACTGGTGTTCAAATTTACTACCAGCTGTATAGAAATGGCATTTGCTTCTGCACATGGAATTGTTGCTCAGGGAATCCAAATTCCACCCAAAGCCACTTTACTCCCCAAAGGTACCTATCAGAGTTCAACCTATATTTGCTGCAGGAAGTAGCATTTCTTCCAGTCTTATATAGTCACATTAGCATCTGTCGCGCCAGTAAGAGACAATGGTAGGAATGGAGATATTGCTCTGTGATGGTTTGACTGATGTGGCAGTTCCACCAAAAGGTGGGGTGGAAGAGGTAAAAATGTGACAAAGAAATATTGAATATCTAGCCCATATATACCTGACCATGATTTCTTGACACTTATCCAGGAACAATAATTTAAACCTCTGGTAGTACTTTTTTAATCTCTTGTCTATGGACAAGCATCTCTACCACTGTTGGTTAATGGCAGAAATAACCAGACCAAATCATGCTACTATATCTATCATCACAAACTACCTATCATATTATCATTATGTGATAATTTTGGGTAGAGGACAAGACATAGAAAGATGTGGCTAGACTTCGACAACCTGTGTCAGAGTCCCTTGAATTTCCAGCCAGAACGTTGAAGTCCAACACCTCCAGGCTGAACTATATGTAACCACTCCCAGACATGTATCATAAGAGGGATCAAGGTGCAAAATCAGTGTGATATGGTTATTCATTACCTGACTGAAGCAAAAGTACCAATGACGTGATAACATTGGAAATAGATCCCAAAGTAAGAAGATTACAATAGTCTACTATTTCAAATGGTACTTTAGAAATAAACAATATATTCCTCCCCATGGGACTTAATGTGGAGGCTTTTATAATAGTATTACTCACACCCATGCACATATATCTATTCCATGCACAATTAAGAGATATCCAATTTAATTTGCTTTCTAAAGGGACAAGGAAACAATATTAAAATAGTAAGCTTCAGCTTAGTTTTGCAAGCTTCAATGCTTTGTGCAAAAGGCTAATGTGGATGATATGAATGAATGAATGAATGAATGAATGAATGAATGAATGAATGAACGAACGAACACAGAACTTTAGGTCAAGGCATTGGTTTTCCAAGTTGTTTAAATGTAAACTGGTATGTGTGTATGTGTGTGTTTATATGCCATGACTATTGCAAAACTCAGTTCTGCCATCTGTTGGAACTTAAGGTTAGGGAGGTATGTCTAATCTAGATTTTCAGTTCAAGCCTGAAAAAAAATGCTGCTTTAATAAGCTGTGCTAAATATGTGGCTGCTTTAATGATTAACTCATTAAAATAGTCATGTCTTATTTCAGGTTCACGGGTGGGGGGGAGGAATGAGTGTTCTCTAAAGGGTGCTGTGCTTGTTTTCCTGCACATTCTGAAGCTCCCTTCCAAATCACTTTTAAAATATGCAAAACTCTACTTTTGAATATCGAAATGGAACCTTGGAAGCTACATGTTTTGTTTATTACAAGACATTTTCCTTGATCCCAATTGTCTTCAACCTATGGTTAACTTAGCCCTATGCAGACTTGAGATAATGCCAAGAGAACTGTACATACATAGGTCTAAATAAATCCACTGTGCATAGGTCTAAATAAATCCAGTTAGGAAGATAAACGAAGGTGGTCACCCATACGAACATTGTAGTATTTGGACTTGAAGCGCTTGTTTCTAATTGAAAAAGTGAATTTTCTAACAGAGTTAGAAGGCTGACTTGCAAAACCAGGAATTAAAGTGGAGATGTGACCTTGAAAGATCATAATTCTTCCAATCCAGTCTGAAGTGACAATTACCATAAACCTTCAGTCATATTACTACATCTGCACCATTGGAGCATTAATACAGACCAACCATCCAGGTTCCATTTTAAGGACTTACTGAGACAAAGCCTAGAGCTTAACTCTCATCATCTTTTAGAACATTCCCTCAGCTGACCTTATATTTAAGATAAAGTGATTGTATTTAACTTAGATGCAAATCACATGGATATTTCCATATGTGCCTTTAACTGAAAAGACATCTTGTTTCACTTTTGTGTGTTTGTGTGTGTCATTTTCCATTTTCAGTTCTCTGAGATTTTTCTTTGCTTTTCTCAACTTTTTTTCCCTATATATATATAAACAAACAAACAAACAAACAAACAAATAATTAATAGTAGTTTGACTGAAAGCATTAGAATGTTTCTGCTAGGAAATATTCAAGATCTTGGCTTGTTCATTTGAGTATATGCCTATTTTAAAATTAATGGAGGTTGTAATCTACACACACTTTCCTGGGACTATGCCCCATTGAATCCAGTGAGACTTGCTTCTGAGATGACATATATAGAATTTCATTATGACTATTATTTCAACACTAATATACATAAAAATGGAGAACTCATACATTTTTAAAGCTACTCTTTTCTTAACATTGTTCAAATAGGAAATCATTATGTGTTACTCACCAGACAATACTGAGTTTTATACAAAGCCTGGTTCTTGTGATTAGATATCATGAATATTTAGAAGGCCCTTCTTTATCTTTTTTCCTTATGGTTATTGTAATTGCACAGTATAAGTTGCAGAGTATAAGTTACACATGTAAGCTTTGTCACTATATTTGAAATCAGAGGGTGTTACAGACTCAAAACCCACAGTCCAGCTTGCAAAAATATCTAGGACTAAGATTAGTTCATTTGTCTTCGGTGCTGTTATTTCCATGAGCTTAAGGTTGTATAGTGACAAATTGTCACTTGTCTATAGTTATATTCAAGTATTACAACTGGTAACCCCTGGTGCCCCCACCTGGCTGACATCACTTCATTGCTGAGTTCCCAGATCATATGGAAGCCACCATAGATATGTTTCTGTTGAAAAGATTTGTGTTCTTACTGATGTCATGAGGGGAACAGGGGTCCTACAAGGAGCCATACATTTTTTGCTTCATGTGTGCAATGCCTGAACATGGCTTCAATGTCACCATTTTTGAGCTTCCACAACACTTTATGTCTTTAAGCATATTTTTCTCATTTGAAGGTTTAAACAAGACAAATGGACATTTACAAACACCACATTAGTTCTATTTAGGCAGGGCAGCTAGAATATTCTTCTGCAAATTTGCGATCTATATTGTAAAAGTTGTTTGGTCAAAGATAATATCAATGCGGGGGGACCTCCTCATACCTATGATGGGAAATCCCATAGCACTGATGTGGGCTTGTATCGTCCTAGAGAAAGTGGCAATGCTCCAGTAATTTCTGCCTCATCCCAAGGTCAGAATCATAATTCTAATTCAACCACTTCCTGTCTGCCTCAACTGTAGGAAAAGTACTATCCATTTATTTCTTATGCCCAACACAACACACCAGTAACAGTAGAAGGGGTGATGGAGTTGGATGATCATTTAAAAAATATTTCTGTAAGTATTTAAATAAATATGTAAATAAATACTTAGCCAGATCAATCTATTACATGAACAATTAATCAATTAAGCTATAATAAATACATGTACTTATTTGTGATTTTTCTCCCATTTAATAATGGAAAATAAAATTGTGATCATTGCAGCAAACTTTCCTTAGGACACCAGGTAAATATGAAAATTTACAACGGAAAAGTGATACTCAGGAAATATTACTTGGTATTTTTCTCTTGCTATTCAGTGAGTAGGGTCACATCCTTTTCTTAATAAAGCATATCTGTCTATCCTTATCTCAGTTGCAAAGTGAAACTAATTTCTGCCTAACAAGCAAATAAAGTGGTATGATTTAATCTAATCTCATTCCTAGCTCTATTTTACTCAACTGGGAGTTAGCTAAAGCTAATCATTTCCACATTTTACCCCTTTTAAAACAAGAATTAATGTGTCTGAAGCTCAGGGAATCAGTTCCAGTCTTACGCTTAGGTTAAATTAGCATTGGGTAGCAGTGAATAGACAAGAATCCGCCCCTTTGGACCACATAAAGAGAAACTGGTGATGGAACAGAACACCCTCAAGTGAACATTCTTTTAATAATGGTTGTATCTGAACTAATTAGCCAGAGCAGAAGTCTTCAAAATGGTCAGACAGATGTAGATTTTTGGGCAAAGCATTTTTCCTGATATTCTTCTCCTGCAGCTTCTGGTGCAGAGACAGCCTAGCATACAAATCAGGAACAGAGTTTGCCCGATCTCTAATCCTAGCCATAGAGTGGCATTTTCTAGTCTATGCACAGGCTTCCACAAAGATGGTAGGAAGACGTGCAACTCCCCTTATGAGGAAAAGGCCTTTTTTCTCCCTTAATCAGTCCATTATAGGCCATACTGTGTATGTCAGAGAGAGCTCAAAACCAGCTTCTATTACGTTAAACGATGCAGTCTAAAAGAAGCTTAGTGTGCATAATGAAGGAGTGGATGGAGCTCTGCAGGTTGGTCCGTCTGTCAGACCTACCTAGGTTGATCTGGGTATCCCCT